TCAAACTCGCGGCACAGTGGCTGAGTGGATAGCACTCTCGCCTCTCAGCAAGAAGGTCCTGGGTTCAAATCCTGGCCGGACCAGGGCCTTTCTGAGTGGAGTTTGCATGTTCTCCTCGTGTCTGCGTAGGTTTCCTCCGGGTACTCCGGTTTCCCCTGCCACTAAAAATATGTACAATAGGTCTGGCATGCGCCTCCTGTTCGGCGACCCCGCTCCCATCTCTGTGTGGAGTGAGAGACAAATGCCCAAAAATAACAATTGTAAACCGCTTTGTGACTCTGGTCTGTGAAAGGCGGTATATAAATAAAGCTTACTTACTTACTTACTTACTTACCATAGTGTTTGCTTAATGCAGAAGAAGCAGATTTAAACACAAGCTAGCCGGAGCCAATTGCCTGTGTTGGTTTTATTCTCTGATCTATCCATCCATCCATTTTCTTCCCCTTAATCCACTTCTGGGCCGGGGGGGGGTGGCAGTCAGAGCTGCACGCATTACACAGAGCACCAGCCCCTCACTGATCCTCCTGCAGGTGGTGAGTCCACAGGGGCCTTGATCTTCCAGTGGGGGCTTCAGGCAAAGTGGGGTTAAGTGTCTTGCCCAAGGACACAACGACAGCAGACATCAGTGGGAGTGGGTTAGGGTTGAAGTAGGTCTTGCGAACCCATGATCTGTTGTTAGCAAATCAACAACTTTGCAAAGTCCTTCGCGATACACAGATACATAAAATCAAAATGAAAACAGCAATAGGATTTTTCAAATTTGACTTTAAATATTTTAAATGAATAAAAGTTTTGTTTTTGTCTCGTGAGCACTGAATCAAATGCAATAGACAGAACGTATATGGCCTTTATGTTCCGTCTTTGGACAAAAGTCGCCCGTTTATCCCTCTCAGAATCCCTTAAATGTCAGAAGGCGGCGTCTCTGTGAATGAAAGCGGAAGCCGTTCCTTTTTTTTCTTCACTCTTTTCCACTTTGACATTTTAACAAGTTTAAACAACTCCAGAGGGAGGCCGAGCGGAGCGAGCATCGATCCCCGTCGTGGACTCCAGCTCGGACCACGTGCCACTCCTCCAGAAACCTCCCCAAGTTCACGCTCCCAGTGAGAGGGCGAGGAGAGCATTCTGGGAAATATAGAAAATCAGTAAATGGGTGAGGTCATTGCACTACACCGGGGGGAGGCACGCAGGGATGCAGAGGGGAGGGGGGGACTGTGTTAAGGGCAAGGATAATGTCTGCTGCATTACGATAATTGTGGGTCCAGCTTATAAAAATTAGGCTATTTTTAGACAGTTCTGGCAGAATGACGCGGACATATGGTCGTGTGGGTGGCTGGCAGATGCTGCTAATCACAGAGTCAGCTTTATGTTACACTTGAAACATATCTATTTCCAAAGTCATGTTTTCCCCTGGTGAATGCTAAGATCAGATTTGTGCCTTTTTTAAATTCAAGTTGGTCTTCCTACTATGCAACTTTCAACAGCTTTGCATTTCTATTTTCCATCACAGTGAGCCACAGGTGCAGGGGGTCAGGTGATCTTCCCAAAAAACACTTTCTACAGGCTCTTTCTGTTGAGGTAAAAATATGTATTAAAGCTGCACTAACTGACTTTGGGATTTTGAAGCCGTGGACTCGCTGGCCTCTCTCTTTCTGCTCCCCTCCCCGCACCCACGAAGCTATCGCCCCCCACACACACCCACTGATGGGACGGAGCTAGTGTCTCCCAATATGGATAATACATACATATGGATTTGCACGTGGATGGCGTGACCATAAAACGATAGAACCGGGAAGCGCGGAGGAACAAGACTTTCTTTTGGATGGCTGTTTCGCTGTGTAAGCAGTAACCGGTGATGAAGAGACGAAGCTTCAGGTTAGCTCCTCGGCTTGTTGTGCTAACTCAGCTGTCTATGCTAACGGACCTGTAGATTTCTCACGAAAGTGGGGGCCAGTGGTCCGTTGTGATTGGTCACAATCTGCGACCCGAAACACATTCTCTTCCTTGTTTCATCAAAACTCGATCTAAAATATAATGTCACGCCAGCACAAATCTGCGCTAATTATTCTTCAAAGGACGTATATCCCAATGCACTACATGGACATGGATAGCATTTTCGTAATGAATACAAAAATAAAGTCAGTTAGTGCAGCTTTAATTTAAAAAGTTTAGTGCTTTGAGCAGAAGGAGGTTGTATTTGAGCCCTGACCTCTGTGTGTGTGTGTGTGTGTGTGTGTGTGTGTGTGTGTGTGTGTGTGTGTGTGTGTGTGTGTGTGTGCGGGGGGTGGTTTCTCGCTCCTTTTAAATCAATTGGTCAATGTTTGGGGTGAGATTACGAAAGTATGATTCAGAATATTGATTCTGTTTCGAGGTCAAACGGTAGAATGTGCTAAAAGTTTGGATTTGAAAACAGAATCATTAAAAAGCTAAGTTTAACTTTTCCAGTGGGAGTTTAACCAATGTTCCAAAGCTTCTGTCGTTGATGGAACATGGGTTTAAACAGACAATAATATCAGAATCAGGACGACAATTCATTCTGGAACAAATCAACGTATTTTTCCTTAACAAAATTGATCCGAAACGTTCTTTTTTCGCCCATGTCTGACTTTGCGATTGCTTTTTGTGACGCAGTGGTTAGAGCTTGTGCTTCAGAGTAAGAAGTGTTTGGGTCCAACTCCAGGCATTTTGTGTGGAGTTTGCATGTTCTCCCTGTGTTTGCGTATGCTGTGAAAGAAGGATTGTCATGATCGAAAGACCTAGAGACCCACACACGCACATTAACTTGCAAATACACACACAAGTTAAATTAGACCATGAACAAACATATGGCTGGGTATAATCTTCTATGAGAATCAGTGATGTTGAGCTTCACAAAAATACATTAATTTGATTTTAAAGCCTTTACCAGGAACATGACATCCATTGGGACCTTTATCTCTGCACAAAAGGCACCAGACCGACATAACAAAACTGTCTAAGCTCATTGGTTTTCCAATGTGGGCTAATCATTCAGCTCCACTTGTTTCGGCAGTTGGGCAAAATGGTTCATTTTTGTGGAATGAGAAAGCAGCAGAAAGAGGAGAGAGCAGGAGAAAGAGGAGAAGGAGGAGAAGGAGGAGAAAGCAGGAAAAAGCCAGAGTAAAACAGCAGGAGATTGTGTCTGACCTGTGAATGCTCAGCAGCCTCCTCAGAGACAGCGTTATAAAAGCTTTGGGGCTTTGCGACAGAAAAACTATTAAAACGTTTTTCAGAGCCCGGTTCAACCAAGAGAATCAAACTAAATTATTATGTTCCACTGGTTTGCGGCTGCTCCCTGGTGTCTTTTACAGCTCTACGAGGCCACGGCTCATATTGTTTATGTGTGTTGTTGAATATTAGCAGCTGTTTAAGTTGTTTGCAAGGGTCAAATTGTTGTGCAACTGCAGAACCGGTCTTTATCATTTAGATTATACAAAATACATTCATTGGATACAGTCTGTGTATAAAATGATAACTTATATAAATCAAATTAAAATGTATTTGAATAAAAAGCCAGCAACCCAAGGTTGATGAGAAACATTAGGGCGGTCCACATTGAGACGGAGATTCACTACCTCGAACAGTAGATCCAGGACTGAGGCTGTAGATCCAGGACTGAGGCTGTAGATCCAGGACTGAGACTGTAGATCCAGGACTGAGGCTGTAGATCCAGAACTCTCAGAGTATAGAGCAAAGACTGAGTCTGTAGATTGAGGACTCAAGTTGTAGACCCTTAGGTTGGGCAGTGAAGAACGGAAGAGTTTTATCATCACACCCTTAAAACAGAGAATGGGACAGCGGGTGTATAGAAATTAACAGACTACAGCTGAAGTCGTAAGGATGACAAATAAAGTAGGAAAAAGGAGTGGATAGTGCTTTTACCAAACTTGTCCAGCAGGGGTTTCCATATGCAGCTTATGTGTTTTTTGACTTAAAGTTTCCTTTCTAAATCTTCCCATAACCTCTTACCTTAGTGAGCCAAATACTGAGAAATGTTTGTTGATCTGGATTGAGAACTTTATCTGCTGGAGATTCCATATTACTTCTAGAAGCAGGTTTTCTTTCCAGTCTAAACCCGTAAAGTGAAGTGTGGCTGTTACACCTGCTCCACACAGTCCCTTGGATCCAGTTTTTACCCTCTTGAGTCAGAAGGCTGCAGTGTTGATTGGTGGAGGTGAGATCTGCACGTGCTCGATACCAATCAATCCTCTGCCCCAAGGTTTCTGTCAATGTGATTTGTGACGTGTTGTTATCCCCTTCAGCTCCCTCGTTTGGCTGATTTAAGACATTGGAAGAGGGCTCTTGGCTAAAAATGCACGGTATAATTAAAAAAGCGTATTTAAACAGGGCTTTATTTTCTCGTATTGATCTGTTCGTAAAGGGAGCCAAAGTCCAAGTGGGAAAGTTTCTCCGGTCTCTCTCTGGCCTTTCTTTGGTCTCTCTCTCTCTCCCTGGTCTCTCTTTCTGGTCTTTCCCAGGAATCTCTCTGGCCTCTCTTTCTAGTAGTCTCTCTAGTTGGCCTCTCTTTCTAGTAGTCTCTCTAGTTGGCCTCTCTCTCTGAATAAGTAATTGAGAGTATATTTTTTTGTAACCAATTTTAAAAAGCTTTTCTTTATTTGTAGTTATTTTAGATTTGACTGATTATAGGTCACAGGATTTTTATTTCACATTTGAATAGTTTTAGGGGCGCAGCTTTGAACAAGATCAGATCTTACCTTATTGGCCCATGTTTTTCTGGCCACTCAAATGCTGTGTACCACAGGGCTCTGTTTTAGGCCCTGCCCTATTCTCTTTGTACATAGGATGTATTCAGCCCTGAGAAGAGCTGAGGACAGACAGACGGGAAGATTATTTGAGTAAAGGAAAAGGAAACATCCACTGCGGACTGTGGATTTTACAGGACGACCTTGAGCGGAGGGATTCATACTGAAGCGGATCCAGGACAAGGGACCACACAGAGAGAATTATGGGAGAAGAAAAGCAGAATGGAATATAGAGGCAAACACCACAGCACAGCCAATCAGGACGCTGGTATATGGATGCTAGGTGTGTGTATGTGTGCATGTAATCAACTCTGCTTGTGTACAAGTCTTTCCATGGCCTTGCACCAAAGTAGTGCCATATGAACCAAGTCAGACTCTGAGGAGCACAGGGACAACATTTATAAACTGCTTGATACATTTTCCATTAGGTGGACTTTCTTTCAGCTGTGTCAGGGAGTAGCTCACTTCCACTTTTGTCCTCTATCATAGTTCTTCAGGGTAAAGGGTTGGAGCCTCAGCCCCCTCTCTCCCATCACAGCGCAAACCAGGTCCTGCCCTGCTTAGCTTCTGCGGTCTGTCAAGATAAGGCTTCGACCAGAAAATATAGACAAGAATCCAGACTTTTGTTATCCCTGTTGCTTTTTCAGTTTTTAATTTAGACCTCACTGAAAAAGGCCATCACTTAAACAAACACATGTGATTCTTGTTTCTGTTTCCCTGTTTGTTATTGGCTATTTTTAAAAAGGTCAACACAGATCTAATTACAGTATTTGTCTGAAAAGTCCACATGTGTTGTCGTCTGTACACCCAGCACCTTTACCTTTCGGTGACATTATAAAAGCAGGAGGGTCTGGTGTCTAAATGTCAGATTAGCCCTGTTAGCCCTGTTAGCCTCGTTAGCCTCGCTAGCATAGAGGAAGTATCTCCACAAGTGCTCAACAGGCCCATCGACCTGTCACCTCTGTGCCAGCAGTCGTCTCTCCTTTGCACAACAATATATGAATACATGAATCTAACCTTCAAGAGATTGAAAAACATGTTTCAGTGGTGACAAGGTGAATTTAGTGAGATATAAGTCATAGATTCTATTTTAATATCATGAGGTGTAGTCAAACATTTCTGGACAGTGGTCATCCCGCTCCCTATGAACCAATGACTCCTATGTGTTTGTTATAAGTACATACAATTAGATGATGAAATATTTTTGTTTAAATCTTTAATAGAGCTAAAGATAGTCTTGCATTTCTATGATACTTTGACTTTCCTTAAATACGATGTTCCAATGGAATAAGCGCTGAAGAAAAAATACACAATTCAAAACTAAATGAAGGGAACATTTTCATCTGGTTGATTTGTAAACTTTGAAATGTCTCTTTTCAGAGCAGAGTCTCCTGCAAAACCTGCTGTAAGTCTTTTCAAATCAGTGCAGTGATCTGTGAAAGAGCGGTGTCTCTCTCCACAGAACGGCTCCTCACATATGTACAGTATCCTCTGTAAATGTTTTTATTTGAAGCCTGATCATGAGAACGCTGCAGCAGCAATAGCATCAGTAGGGTGACACGGTGGATAGCGCTCTCGCATCTCAGCAAGTAAGCAAGTAAGTAATGTTTATTTATATAGCGCAATTTATAGACCAAGGTCACCCAAAGCGCTTTACAATGTTCAGAGTTTAGATATTGTTCCAATCATTCCACACACGGTGATGACAGAAGCGAGTCGCCGAACACACTGGACCATCAGCTCCAATCAACACCATCCATTCACTCTCTCATTTACATTCAAACCTATTGTGCATGTTTTTAGTGTTAGGCGAAACCGGAGCACCCGGAGGAAAACTACGCAGACACAGGAAGAACATGCAAACTCCACTTAGAAAGGCCCTGTTCCGACCAGGATTCGAACCCAGGACCTTCTTGCTGAGAAGCGAGAGTGCTATCCACTCATCACCGTGTCATCCAATGTTGCCCTTTGGGTGACATTGGTCTGTAAAAATGTGCCATGTAAATAATGATTACTTGCTTTCTAAGAGTAGAAGCAGCAGTAATAGTTGTTAAATGCTTTGTCTGTGAAAAGCACTATTTAAATAAATATCTGGACACAGACATACATTCACTATACTGGCAAAGGTTTTTCGGCAAAGGTGAATGCTGTAAAACATTGCTATGTTTATATGTGTGTACATATCTAAGTATGTGTGTGTGTAGACTTCGTACAGTAGGTGAAAATACGACAAATGCTTTTCTGCTTGAACAAACAAATAATTCAAAATACACATATATCGAACCAACTAACCCTATTCTTTGGGTTGATTTGCGTTGCTCTTTTCAGCCACACATCTGCGTTCTCCTGTTCACACTCTCCTTCTGCTTCACGGCGTCTTCAGTGTGAGGGCAGTCAGCTCCGCTCAGGGCCGGGCCTTTGATGGAGCCACAAAGGGGCCGAGTGATGGATGCGAGATGAGGTATTCACTGACCTGTCATTTCCACATGGCCTCCTCCTCTTCTACCTGCAGACACCTGACCTCCAGCCTGAAGGGGGCGCCTCTCCAGGGACCCGGGGTGACTCCTCAGAGCTGCAGACTTGTCACAGAGCCAAAGAGACGTCTCACATGTTTCCAGGAAGATTCACTCACACATGAACTCAGTCAGATTCTGAAGGTGGGGAGATAAAGTCCTATTTCTTTCATATTGTAAAGACATACAATAGCCTCAGTTCTGGCTCTTCAGCCAGAGTCCTGGATCTACAGCCTGAGTCCTGGATCTTCAGCCTCTGTCCTGGATCTTCAGCCTCAGTCCTGGATCTACGGCCTCAGTCTTCAGTCTGAGTCCTGGATCTACAGCCTCAGTCCTGGATCTACAGCCTGTCATAGGGGTCTCTATAAGGTTTCTCACATTTTTCCCAATGGGTTTTTGAGTGGTTCCTTGCTGATGCAGGAGGGTCTAAGGACAGTGATGATCTCAACAAATTCTAAAGTCATTTGGGAAAACTGCTGTTGCGATTAAGAGCTATTTACAAATAAATTGAACTGAATTCAAGGCCATTGAGCCACACGTGGCCACCAAACTGATATTTTATACCCAATAAACATTTGGAGACATACCCCATTGAGTACGCTGCATAGAGTTTAAGTAGCGCTGATGTCAGAAACCTCAAATCTGCTTTTTCATTATTTCAAATCATTTTCCATTTGAAGTTACACAAATGCAACAAATGTGATGCTTTTTGTGACCGGTTTAGTGCAGCAGAGTGATTAGTTTAAAAGCAGTATTATGTTATCACACAGATCAGTCCAAATATGCTGTTGTTTGGTGTGATAGCGCGAGATCTCCACCTGCTCTGGTCTCCTCCTGCTGCACACGTGGAGCTGCTCTGACAGTCTGCTCGGGCTAAACTCTTGACACACATTTGCATGTTGTGGGTGTGTGCGTCTGTCGGAGTCACACCAGAGTGCCCCCACATTCATCATTTACAGACGCGTGTCTCCATGTCTTCACTCATAAAGAGGAAGATCCGTTTATGGCAGAACAATGTGCTCCTGGACGGACTTCCTCATGAAATAGATTTACCAATTCTGCAGCAAAACAGAAGTGTGGAGGATATTTCTCAGACAGTGGATAAGAACGAGTGACTGGGCGTTTCTTTAGAGATACAAGTGTCTCTATGTTGAGGAGGCTCGGGCATCTCTTTGGGAGGACTCCTGGACGCCTCGCTGGGGAGGTGTTCGGAGCATATCCCACTGGGTGGTGACCAGGGGAAGACCCGGACATGCTGGAGGGACTGTGTCTCTGAGCTGCCCTGGGACGGTCTCAGGATTCAACCAGATGAGCTGGAGGAAGCAAGATGGGCATATTCCCATGGGCAACTCCACTATTTTCAGTTTGTTGGAGACAAAGATGTGCGGAACATTATAGTTAAGTGCACTTTGTGCCAAACCAAAATCTCTATCAAACTCTCGCAATAACATAATAAGCTACATTTAGTAAGTTTATATATATTTGGTGAAAGTAACTTGAAAGCAACAGTTGGTAAAGCATTGGCCTTTGGGCCTGAAAGTCGCTGGTTCGAGCCAACAATGAAACCTACTTCACGACTCCGACTGATGTTGTTGTGTCCTTGAGCAAGACACATAACCCCATTTTGCCTGAAGCCCCGCTGAAAGACCAAGGCAGCTCAGACTAGAGCAGCCGTCCTCCTCTGGACCCACCACCTGCAGGAGGATCAGGGAGGGGCTGGTGCTCTGTGAAATGGGCGCAGCTCTGACTGCCACCCCCGACCCAGAAATGGATTAAGGGGAAGAAAATAGATGGATGGAACTAAAAAGCAATGCAGTAGTATTGTAATGCTTTACAATTGAGAAACAGTATTATTGTATTGTAACACTTTACTTTGAAATAAAAGTAAGTTTTAAGTAAGTGGCTCAACACTAGTCGTCTCTGAAGACTTTACAAAATTGTTGATTCACCAACAGCAGACCAGAGAATGAAATTGTTTGAAACTCAAACTCATGGTCCCATCATACCGCTGTCCAATGACCACTTTCTAGAAATATTAAAACATGTCCATAATTGTCCAGGTTCATCACTGTCCTCAGACTCTGCTGCATGGGCAATAACCAAGTCAAAAACGCAGTGGGGGAGGTCAATATTGAGAGAGGGATCCACTCCCACGGACGGACAGGCTGTAGATCCAAGTCTGAGGAGCTAGATCCAGGACTGAGGCTGTAGATCAGTGGTCCCCAAACTACGGCCTGGGGGCCCAATCTGACCCCCTCAACAATACCAGAGAAGAGAGCTTTTGTTGTATTTGATAATAAAGTTGGACTTTTGCAATACAATTTTCCTTAGTTATGAACTATTAAGGACTGAGGCTGTAGAACCAGGACTGAGGCTGTAGATCCAGGACTGAGGCTGTAGATCCAGGACTGAGGCTGTAGATCCGCTGTAGATCCAGGACTGAGGCTGTAGACCCAGGACTGAGACTGTAAATCCAGGACTGCGGCTGTAGATCCAGGACTGAGACTGTAGATCCAGGACTGAGGCTGTAGATCCGCTGTAGATCCAGAACTGAGGCTGTAGATCCAGGACTGAGACTGTAGATCCAGGACTGAGACTGTAGATCCAGGACTGAGGCTGTAGATCCAGGACTGAGACTGTAGATCCAGGACTGAGACTGTAGATCCAGGACTGAGGCTGTAGATCCGCTGTAGATCCAGAACTGAGGCTGTAGATCCAGGATTGAGACTGTAGATCCAGGACTGAGGCTGTAGATCCAGGACTGAGACTGTAGATCCAGGACTGAGACTGTAGATCCAGGACTGAGACTGTAGATCCAGGACTGAGGCTGTCTATTCAGAATACACAAGTTTGTGCATTATTAACAATTGTTCATTCACCTCACGCTGCTTTCTATATGATTTTAATTCCAATGTCAGGAACGCACTCACTCAGACTTGAGTACTATGAATAATACTATTTTGAGGCGAGTCCAACGTTAAAATATTCATAAATCTGTGACTGATGCATATTGTTCTGGCACACACTCACACCGGGCCTGTCTCTGTGCTGCTGCTGCTGCTGCTGCTGCATTTGTTGGAAGGTATTCTCCTGTTGGCACAGTCCCCCTCTTTCTTGCACGGTATATTCAAGAAACATGTTTTACGACTGCTTTATTTACAACTGGTCGTCTCTGCTCAGTTATAAAACTGTCAAAGCAGCTCGCCATCATTATTTCAGCACAGCGCAGAAGGAGGCTGCATCCAAATTCATAAGAAATATCACCTTTTTCTCCTTATTCCACCTTACACCTGCCATAGCACCAAAGTCTTTAAAATGTCTTGGTCTAGTCCAAACCTGAAGCTACTCTGTATCATAAGTATAAGACAAGATACTTTTGCATTTGATTGAAGACAAACACAGGGCGAAAGTAGCTCAGTTGGTAGAGCATTGGCCTTTGAGCCTGAAGGTCGTGGGTTCGAGCTGCCGTTGTGTCCATGGGCAAGACACTTAACCCAACTCTGCCTGAAGCCCCATCGGAAAGATCAAAGCTCCTGTGGACTCACCACCTCCAGGAGGATCAGTGAGGGGCTGGTGCTTTGTGTACTGGGTGCAGCTCTGACTGCCAACCCCCCGACCCAGAGATGGATTAAGGGGAAGAAAATAGATGGATGGATGAAGGCAAACACTAACCATTCCTCTCAAACTCAACATCTGTGAGCTGGGACGAGACAGGGTTGAGGCATCCATCTCTCCCGGTAATAGCCGGTGTTAGCCGATGACCATAACTTGCATCAAACCACCTCCAAGCTTTTTAATTCGATCCACTTTTAAGCTTCTTAACCGGTTATAACCGGGGCCAAGCCGTTACTAAAAAAGTAAAAGATGAGGCCATCCTGAGGCTTCCGTCAGTGGTTGCCGTATTACAGCGCCCAGGGACCCATTGAGTTGAAATATTTACCGTGCATGTTTTTAGTGGTAGGGGAAACCTACGCAGACACAGGGAGAACATGCAAACTCCGCTCAGAAAAGTCCTGTGCCCCCCAAGTATGGAAAATTGCCGAATGCAGGACATAGATGTTACTGAGCGTTTCCTCAGGACGCTCGTGCAGCGACCAATCAGAGAGCTGCAAAGTGGTCACTGAAAATACTCGTAAACAGCCAAAACAGGAGCTACACCAGGACTAAACCAGGGTTGACAATGGGTGACTCTGTGCTTGTGAACATATGCGTTTTCATGCTGCCGTGACTGTAGACAACTGCTTCGAGCATGCTCGCTGATGCGTAAGTACCGTATAATAATAAATTAAACTTATGGCGCACCTCCGTGAACACATACTACTGTTATATAAAGTCTCTGAAAGGTCTCTGGACACAGATACGCTGCAGAACTGCATTATAGGAGAAGAACTTTACTCAAAAAGCAGCTAGCTTAACTCCGTTAGCATCAAAGTCCGCTTGCTTCTTCCACCACATCCGGCGGGCGCCACCGCAGCCCAGGACATCTGTTCTGAGGACCCCTGCGTCTGAAAATTAGAGCATGTGCATCTGGTGCGCGAGGTGTCAGCGTTCAAGCGTCGGCGGTGTGAACGCGCCTTTAGAGGAACAGCCCTTGGCTGGTTTGAATCCTATTTATTGGATCGGCATCACTTTGTCAACGTGAATCAAAACTCGTCGCCTTATTCTAAAGTAATATTTGGGTGTGCCACAAGGATCGGTACTCGGACCGATTCTTTTCACACTCTACATCATTAAAAAGCATGGTATTAACTTCCACGGCTATGCAGATGACACACCGCTTACTGAATCAGACGGATCAGTTGAAAAGGCTTAGTGCCTGCATAAAAGACATAAAAACATGGATGACTCTTAATTTTCTACTTCTTAACCCGGAGAAGACGATGTGATCCCACTTGGTCCTAAGCATCTGCTCGACTCCCTCGCTTACCACATAATTACTCTCAACAAACATGTGTCGTCTGTTTTGACGGCATGTGTCGCAGTGGTGCTTGTACCTTTCCCTTGCCTTTCTGGAGTTTGCATGTTCTCCCTGTGTCTGTCATCCGGTTTCCTCCGGATGCTCCGGTTTCCCCTACCACTAAAAACATGTACAGCAGATCTGGCATGTACCTCCTGTACTTGCGACCCTTTCTACCAGATGTGGGTGAGAGACAAAT